TATTAAAATGTGTTTATCAAAAGGAAAGTGATATAGATATCGTCCAAACTTCAATGTTGCATAATTTTATCTATTCTATGTAATCTATTATAAACTTAAGGGATCTTCATAATTAGAATCGGTGGAAGTCATAGAGAATATAATTACATTTAAGGTGCAATACTCAAATCTGAGAAAAAATATAAGTGGCTTTCCACTGAATATCTCATTTTAGGTGTGAAATAAATCTACCTTTCTTTGATATTTCACAATCTTTGGAAATGCATCAACATACTGTACATTCCCCACTGCCACATATGATAGATTAAAGCACTTGGGAGCTTTTCTAGGGTGTCTTTGGAAATGTGTAGCGCGGAAACATTCCAGTGCTATTGGGTAGCTTAACAGGCTCCTCAGCTCATTTACATGCCCTTCTTTTGTAAAGAGTTGCCTTAGGAACTCTCCAACAGAAGTCGATTTCTACAGTTTTCTCCAAATAGGACCCACATAATTACTCATTTTAGTCATTGCACTGGAGCAGGAATAACGTGCCTCAAATTTGACTTGTTTCTGATTCCCATAGTTTGGAGACCAAAAACCTAGTAAAAACTGCTAAAAGTGTCAGATCCATTAAAAAGCAATCACATGCAATATTGGAGAGGGGTGATGGATATAAAATAATTCTCCTCATTATCCCAGAGAAGGATGGATTGATTGATTAAATTTAGACTTTGTAAAATGAAGTATGCATGTTACAATTTAAAGATAATTATTAGATTAGAAAGAGAAAGAATAACTTCTAAAACAATAAAGGGGAAAAGAGAAACTAACATTCATTTAATCCAACAGAAAGCTAGAAAGGAATTTGAGCTGATACATGTCTATTGTTGTGGGCTGTCAAGTCGATTCTGACTCATAGTGATCCGACATATTTTGAAAATGTAGAATTCTATCCTGACCATTCATGGACATGGTGCATATTTCTTTCCCCAGGCCTACCTGGGTGGCAGCCTGGCAACAGGGCCTACTCAATTCACACTCAATTCTGGGTAAGTTTTATAAAGCTGCCCCTGTACTTCTTGCACCTAAACCTTCCAGATGAAAGGTTTGGGTGAGAGTAGGGAATGATTGAAAAAAAGGGCAAAGTTATAGTTTCTGGAATGGAACTCTCAGGTTTTGTGGAGGTGGAGAAAGAAAAACAATTCACCACCTAGAGCTGTACAGGGGAGGGAGGGACATGAATGACTTCTCTCTTTCAGAACTGCCTCTGGAACCTTCCTCTCCAAGGAAAACACTCTGGGGTGGTTCTCCCAAACTGTTGCAAATGTCTTACATTTAACTGACTGATGGATCTGCCATTCTCAGCCAGACTGCTCTGACCATGATTTGGCCACCCTGCCCCTTAACCTTTCTGAGAAGTCTAACAGAAACAGCAAGGGATGGCTCCTGTACCTACCATGCAAAAAATCTCCAGATGTCATCCCCAACCCCACTGTTATTCCATGTAGTGGACTAATGCCCTGCTGCCCAGCTGATGACATGGACAAACAGAGAGATTGGCTTGAAGTCAAGATGGAGACATTCTGCACTTGTGTTCCCAGATCGACTTAGGTACCACTTGTTGTTGTTATTAGGTGCCATCGAGTCGGTTCTGGCTCATAGTGACCCTATGTACAACAGAACAAAACATTGCCCGGTCCTGCACCATCCTCACAATCGTTGGTATGCTTGAGCCCATTGTTGCAGCCACTGTGTCAGTCCATCTCGTTGAGGGGCTTCCTCTTTTTTGCTGACCCTCTACTTTACCAAGCATGATGTCCTTCTCCAGGGACTGATCCCTCCTGATAACATGTCCAAAATATGGGAGACATAGTCTCGCCTTCCTTGCTTCTAAGCAGCATTCTGCAGCTTTGCCTGTTATTTCCATTGCTTTAAGGAAAGGACGTTTGATCTGTTGTCCAGGGATAACTTCTTGCTGGTTGCTCTGCCTGCTGGGGTGGGGCTTGGGGGGAGTAGGACTTAGCGACTCTTGTCACTTTTACAAATCTTCAATTCCCTCCACACTTGCCCTCCTATGCCTGTAATTTCCATTTCAATCTTTACTCCTGACATCTCTCATTCCTTGGTTAACACCTCAGATGCTGCTCTACCCAAGTGTCTTCATTGCTTTGAGGGTTTCTTTCTACTTTTATATTTTTAACTTCAGTTGTATCTCAGCAAGGCATAATGCAAACACATAGACTTGTCTGCCAACCTGAACTCATTAAATTTTAATTTATTACGTTGCTGTCAATTTGATCCAGAATATAGGATTATTAATTATGAGCATAACTTGTGATATAGGTGGTTATAATTGGCTTTATCTTCCACCTTCTTAGGAATGTTATGCTGCTGCTACTACTGATAATGCATTTTCAATGTTTTTACTGAGTACTAAGTATGTTCTGAGTAATTTACATATAGTTTCTAATTTTTTAAAACAAGATGGAAAAATTGTGGCTAGAGGAGAAAATAAATTGTTCAAGATCATGAAATTTGTGTCAGAGCCTGCATTGTCATCAGGGCTGTCTAAATACGAAGGATTTGCCTTCTCTATTATATCACCCTCCCTTTTCGGTGTGTTTAGAAAGTCACTAAGCCATAAAAATGACCCGAGGTCGTGTGTTTAAAGCCAAAATCTTGGTAAGTCCAGGGCACCTCTCCAAAAACGCTTGCCTGGATTTTATTGTAAATACAAGGCCATTTCAGATGGTCTCTTCTTTTCGCAAATAACCTACTGAAGGGTCCTTTACTTAATGACTTCTAAAAAACTTAACAATAAAATTAAACCTTCCTGACTTGGTATCTTCTCACACACCGCAGCTAGAGGATTGAGCATTTTGGTCAATTTTTCACTCTGTGTGCAGACAGTAAGGATTGTTCTGCTGTGTTTTGTTGCCCTCTTAAATGTTCCCTTAATAGTAGGTTATGCCATCTGACGGGCAATTTGCCTTTGCACCATTTTGCTTGTCACGATGCTTCCCCTAACATTAAGTAGCTGCGACTAGAAAAGGGCTTCTAGAGGTTATACAGCTCAATAGAATGCCTGTCCTTTTTTTCTTACTCCCCATTACACTTATGCCCTCCCTCATCTTTCCTTACAAACTCACTGGGGACATTCCAGCAAGAAATGCAAATACTCATTTTTTTTTTCCTCCTACACTGTTCATTTTTTTATGGCAGATTAAAACTAATGGATAGAGAATAAACAAATAGCATCAAAAAAGAAATTTTCTTCTCTGTCTAGTGGTAAACAACTGCTCTGTTAAGGAACTGGGGCTATTTCTACCAAAATAACAAGTCAAATGTATTTTTTCAAAACTAACTCTGTGTGTGTGTGTGTGTAAATGTGTGTAGTATGGATAATCTTCCCCATGAGAGTCTAGCCAGAAGGAAAACATGAAATGCTTTTCTAACAAACTACCTTTTTCTTGGTATACAATCACAACACGAATAAGCCCATGACACCATTTAAACTGGCATGGGTTGAGAGATGTAAAAATGCAATTTACCCCCTGTGGCACGTCCTTGGCAATGTGTGATTACATCCTATGATGTCATATCTACGCTTTAGCAGACTTCATACCTGATGAAATTATTGTTTGTTGTTTTAGGAACATACTCTCTTCGTAGCTCTTACACGTCAGTCTTTTATTTTTGCGTAAGATGTGCCTCTGATTGGTACAATAGTAAATATGCTTTTTTTTTTTGTAATTACTGGGTCACATTTTAATTCCTGAATTTTACACTTCAGCATGAATATTACCAAATGGTGTAAAATAAGTACAGTGATATTTTTAATACACAATATATGTTTTATGTAAAACTATACTTCATATCTACATAAACAGCCTATGTTGTCCAAACATAGTCCAAAATTAAAATTAAATACAAAATCTTCAAAACAGGAGAAACTGCTTCAGTTTAAATGATTCCAGGAAACATGGACCCAGTTAACTTACTCCTCTAAAAATAGAACCTCTTAACTCATGGCTTCAATTTATTTTTAGAAATTTATCTGCATTAACTCTGTAATAAAGCAGCTTTCATATTACATCCCTGTTTATACAAAAGCTTCATGTGCTGTATGCCGATTCTGAAACTTAAGTAATTTTTTCGTGGTCTAATGGCTTCCAGATATTAAATGCTGCTTCATTCAGCACTACTCTTTGGATCGTAGTCTTTATCAATTACACTCTAAAACTTACCTGCTGCTCTGGAGGGAGAGACGACTTCATTAATGAAGCAGAAAATGACTTCAAAGTATCTCTCACAGTCTAGCCAATTGAAAGCACTCTGTTCTACCCACCCCCAAGGTCCTAGTACTACTGGACTGATTTTGGCATAGCTTATCTAAAAAACAAAAAGGTTATTTTAAAAGAACTGTCCATTTTGAATTCAGCTTGCTTTATTTATTATTCATCAAAATACATAGTGAAAGTTACTTCCCTCCAATTACCCAAAAGGCTAATTTTTGTTACATTTTCAAAGAAATATCTAAACAGCTTCACTTTATTTTTTATTATAGCTGACTTTGTTTTCCTTATATACATCAACATAAGCATTTATTTCAAAACAGGCAACTGAAGGAAAGAATATCATGGCCAGAACCATTATGCAAGTAATGTTATAAGCTTTGCAATTGAACTGTTACTGTTGTTTCTAATATGTATCCCTGGAAAAAAAAAACTACATTAATATTATGTTTTCAACCTGTTTCCTCCTTCAAACCATCTCTCAAACTAAGACTTTTCTTGCTAAGAAGCTATCACCCAGGTTCTGGTTACTAAATTTTTTTCCAAGTTTTTGGGAAGTCATTTTTACAGAACTAAATCCTCCAAGCTGATTCACTGAGCATCTTTTGTTACTTATTGTATACTTTTAAGTTGACATGAGAAAGTTTTTTGATTCAGATGTTCTAGCTCATTAAACATTTACAGAATTTTAATAAGATCACATGTTGCGGGTCTCTTAGTAAAGATTTATGAACTCAGATGAAGTATTTTCCTGGGGGATGGTCCAGCTTCTTTACCTTCATCTTCTGGATAATCCACTAAATCAATCCCACTGCTACCATTTGGACTACTTGTAAGATGGGATGAAGTAAATTTGAAGCCACCAGATGTTTTTTTCTGAAGGTCTGCCTTGTCTTTATTTACTTTTGTTTTTTTCACCTTCATCACTTTATCACAACGATTTGGAAACTGGTCTTCTGGCTCAGAAGTTTTCAATGGTGGCATAATTGCTTCTCCTTCCTCGTTATCTTCCTTAAAACACACTTCTTCTCTCTCCTCAGAGACTTTGGCACCTTTGCGAAGCGTTTTATTATATACTATAGAATGTAAATTCTTCCGTATTTGACCTTGTCTCTCTTTCTCTTGTTCATATTTAATCTTCAATCCTTTGAATGTCTGAACATATTCAATCGATTCAACTGCCTTATAAAACTTTTCAACTATATGAGCAACAAGAGACTTAACATTTTCCACTCTTATGTATTCAAACAGCTCAATAACAGCTGAATTCAACATATTGTACCGAGTCCCGTTACTCAGAAGAGCATTTATGACTGGCTCAAAAAGATTTCCCTTGATGATGTAACGATTATAAAGTTCATCTTTACGGCCAATCATCCTTCTCATAAAGCGAAGAGCACACAATACCAGGAAAGTGTGCTTTGAATTCATGAGGAGCAAGACTCTTCTTAGCAAGTCTTTTTTCAAAATATAATTTTTTATGTAATATGCGTGATGTTGTACACAAAATGTGAGCAGCTCTAAAATTACGGCAAGCAGTTGTGCTGTTTGATAATTATTGGGGCAATTTTTGCTAGATCCAACTGTATCATCCTTTTCACATTTGTCTTCTGAAGTGGTGGCCAAAAGTGGCCCTATCAAGATATGCATGCAATGTTTGTAGAAGAAATTTAGAAATTTACTTCTTTCAGTTTCATTAGCGGCAGCCAGCATGTTGTCTGGATCAAGTAGAGAACGAAGAAGCCCCATTAACTGAACAGCACCTCCTAGCTCAGGATCAGTATCACAGATCATTTGTTCGATTACTATAGTAATGAAAAGGTTACCCTCTTCGCTGTGCTGGGCTTCTTGCATTATAAATCTTCGGATCATAGATGGACTATGCTCTACTAGATAAACAAATATATTTGTAGCAGCTGACCTTATCTGCAAATCATCCACGCCTATTACATTTTTAAGAGCAGGAAGAATTCCCAATTGTGTCAACTTTTGGAATAATGCACTCTTGCTTTGAGGTTGTAATGTCTGAGAAAATGCACAGAATTCCTTTAAAAAAAACACCAATTCACATCGTTTATCATCAGCTGTAGTCTTAGCTGCTAACTGTACAAAAACTTCAGACAACAACTTGTCATTGTCCTGCAGTAAGTTGACTATCTCAACCTTGTTGAAGAAAATAAAAGTACTAAGGGTAGAAAGTCTATTCCCTTCAAACGTGGATGGTACAGGCAATAGGATATCGTGAATGTACTGAACCCTGTGGGTCTGATGTATTTTTTGCTTAAGTTCAGAGTCTGTTATTGGTATAACTTCCTTGAACTTTGCAACTTGGGTCAAGAATTCCCTATGCCTTTTAGGCTGAGCCAAAGCAGGGTCGTATTCAAGGCATCCCACCACATCCATGATGCACTCATCAGAAAACATGATCTCAAACAGAGATGACTTGTTGAGGAATAAGATTCCTTTAATAATTGCATGCAAATGGTGCAAGCCTTTAGTGTTCCCTAGAGTCTCACAAGTGTGGAACAACCGCAGTAGTTTTTTAATATAGCCCTCACTTTCCAAGATCAGAGCCAGCCTTTCACTACGGATAGGTGAGGGAAGAACTGAGTTAACTATGTCAGCAATCTGTTTAAGTTTATTGAGTTCACAATTAGGCAGGCGAACCAGAGCACTGGTATTTGGGATTTCATCAAATCGTTCTTCTGATTCATCCAAAAGGTTTTGTGTGTTTTCAATGGAGGGGTCTTTACCTTGAACGCGGCAAATGTCTTCCCAGATTGCCTGACAGCCAGCTCGATCCTGGAAACTTAGCGCCAGACCATGGTTCTCGGCTTCCGACCAAATAATCAATGACCCCTGATATTTCTGATACGGTGTGTACGTTTTTATCTTTGACTCCAAGATCAGGGAGCCAGTGAACTCGCAATGAACTAGCAGCGACAACCCTTGCTGCTGCTCCACGTAAGTGGATGAGATCAACCCGGTGCCTAGGTTGTCCCATTTCTGGTCATCCTTCAGGGTATAGACTTTCACACGGCGCCGCCTGAGCGCCATGAGTGCCTTTGGCCTCGTCTCCGCGGCCCTGACTACGCCGCGTGCCAGAACCAACGGTGGTAGCCTTAGCTACGGTGACGGTAGCCGAAGCGGCAGGAACGGAAAATCGAATCAGAAGATGGCGGAGGTAATCAGGGTCCACCTGGAGTCCCCACTACCTCTCACATCCCCCACCTCGTGCACCTCCAGCTGCTTCCCGCCCCCGTATTCTCTCTCTTAATATGCGTTTAAAAAGTGAGTCTCTGAATATGCTCTAGACGCTAGGAGAGCTTCATCCTGGCAGGATTTCGATTTCCCCAGGATTCTGTCCAAAAGCAACGTAGTTGCATTACCTGCTTGAAGTTACAGAAAGACTTTCCATAGCCCAGGAAATAAATCCCCATGTTTGGTAATACAAGGTGCCGCCAAGTTTAGAATTGTAGCTTACAAATTCGAACCAAGAGCATTATTCGTTCCATAAGGGGTTTTGTCCCCCAGAAACATTTTCACTCATCAGGTGTTCGGGGGTGGAGACTTAGGACCTTGGACAAATCTTAATCGCCTATGTCCTGACCAAATCCATACCTGGCAGTCTATGTCAAAGAAAGGCTGGTCCAAAAAAAGAAGCAGGGGCCAGACCATTAATAGCAGGAGTCTTAGATCTCAGCTTGGATTTTCTCCATGAGGCTGGGCCTATGTCTGTGTCATTCACTTAGCCATCCATGGGGGATCATGTTACAAGAGTTACAAGAGTTGGTCAACCCCTTTGCTTTGTTCAGTGCAGCCTAAAGCTCCATCCTCTAGCACAATGTGGAATAAAATGTCCTCTAATTTGTCCAGCCCATAATCACACTAGTCATTCTTAGGGAAGGAGTGGGCCAGAGGGAAACCGTGAGTTGAATTAGCCAAAAATGTGTATTGACAATCCCAGATCAATTGTTTTCTTTCTTTTCTTAATAATGATAGTAATAATAACCACAATAAATAAGTAATGATACTTGAGTGCTTATTATTATTAGAAAGAAATTTAATAACCTAATTGATCAAGTCTAATACTGGAGTGTTTACTATGTTCAACACACTATGACATTTTCTTGCTTAGTTTTAATTTTGATATAGTCATCTTTTTAACATTAGGAAACAAATTTAGAGCAGTTAAATAAATTGCCAAAGGTCACACAACTAATAAGTTGGGGAGTTCTGATTTGAATACATGTCTTTTTTATCCAAAAATTGGTTCTTTCAGCCATTGAACTATGCTAGCCCCTTCTTTTTTTGACCTTCATTTCACTTTATGTCACATTCCTTCCATCTATATAATTTGTAATCAACACAAAATTATCAAGCCAAGATGAAAGTCACACACTTCCTCCTTTAGATCCACATCTGTGTACAGCCAACCGAAAAAATAGAAGCTTGGATATGGCAACTCTGTTAAATATAATTTTAATAGTAACCAAGTTGATTTTTGATGTAGCAGCAACTTTTGCAGTTTTCTTTTTAAAAAATATTTTCCAAACATTAACCCTATTATAGCAAGGGAAAAACTGAGAATTGGGCCACATCAAACTCATTTGGACTTGAAGAGTTCTATTTGTAACAATCACTTCATTTTACATAGCATTGGAAAAGTGTGACAATTCTCAAGTAGGGCACAGAAAAACTCTTCCACACACCTTTCTTGCAATGCTGCCTCCAGGAGATTATATTACAGGAATATTACCTGGGACAGTACAGTTGAAGCATTTGGGGAATTGAATGCAAATGACAATCATTTTCTGAGAAAATCTAAATCAATGCCAGGATACTGTCTGTTTAGGAACGTTTACAAATTATAAACAATATTTAAGTGTAAGAATTTATAAATGGGGAATACAAGTAGTGATAAACGTACTACTTAAGAAGTCATATCTTCTTTCAACGGGAGGGAATGCGTAAATATACAATACTATTAATGACATGCATGCTAATGATTCCATTTTTGTTCTTTGCTGTGGTTACATTAAAGTTTCTATCAGAATCAGTTATAACACTGCCAATTCTCTGAATATGCCCTCAGGTTCCGTTCTCTTAGAGGCATTCAGCACAAATTTAGGTGTTCTCACAATTTTATCACTGGGAGTTCCCACGGGCCAATTAAGTTTCCTTTGTCTTAATTAGGTTAACTAGAGTCTCTTTACAATCCAAAACAGCCTTAAGTCTAAATTTCTCCTTGCTCATTCTGCAATCGTTTCTTTCAGTTCAAGTCTTACTTGGTTTGAGAAGTACAGCAACGTCCTTTTTTACTCCCTTAGTTATACCTACATGAGAGTATTACTTTGTTGTTGCTGTTGCTACTGTTGTTATTTCACAGGAAGGAAGGTAGAAGGTAACATGAATACCGTCTGGCCCAAGGCAACTGCCATGTTCCCAGAGCTGTGTAAATCCCTTTTATATGCATTATTTATTTTCTCATTAAATCCTCACACAATAATGGCCTGAGGAAGATATTATTGCTACCATGTTAAACAAGAAAAACATTTGAAACTCCAAGTGAACAGGCACTTGGTTCAAACCCCTGCAGTAAGTGATGATGCTAAGATTTGAAACCAGGCCTGTATAGTTCCAACTCTCCACTTTGCTCTGCCCGGTATGCAGTGGTCTCTCTCAGACTATACATACCCTGTCGTAGCAGATATTTACAATGATGCAATTTTTATCCTAACCATCACTGCTAGTTTATGTTTCCCCATTTTGTTCGTGAAGGAAAATCTTTGAGACCAGGTCAAAATCAAAATAGGTAGATTTAGTGTCAAGGCTCAGAATCTCTCTCCTGTTTTGGATGCCTGCCTCTCTCCTGCTTCCTCCCCCTGACCTGAGGGTAATAAGAGGTAGTTCTTGATGACTCTGCCCTAATAAGAAATACCTTTAGGCAAGGATCTTGTAATTCATCCACGTTTTATGACCACAAAGGGCTTACTTTATACAATTCTTAGACTTATTTTAAAAGATAGTAAAGGAATGAGTCACACGTTTCAGAATTTTAAGTATAAGTAATTCTAACAACTTATATACCTACAGAACATTTACATTTCTAAATATTCTGTCTGTAAGAGGAGAGGGCATTTCTTTCATAGTGGAAAGAACAAGGTGGGGATTTTTTATTTTTTCAAGTAGCATTAAAACGGAGTTATTAAAATGTATCTATTCTAACATTTTCAAATCTGAAATCACTAGTGTAAAACGCACACGCACGTACTTCTCTACAAGTTCTCCGGGTAATTGATTTCACGGAGTGCTGTCTTTGTATGTCTCTTGGGAATATCTGAAACCCAAGGCAAGCAGGGTCAACTCCATCCTTCCCGTTGCTCAGGTCAAAACTTTAGAGCTATTCTTGACTTTTCTCTTTTTATTACTGTCTACATTCAGTCCTGCCACTGAATGGGTTCAAACCACCAACCTTTTGATTAGCAACAGAGTGCGCTTAACTGTTGTATCACTGGGGCTCCTTCTATATCAGGTACTGAGGATAAAACAGTGAATTTGAAATTTGTGTCCATTCCTTTATGGAACAAATAGATTTATCAGGAGATATTTCTAATTTGCAAGATACATATGAAATTTCCCTTCCTGTCCCAACGGCAGTCATTTGCTCATTCTCTTCTTATTGACAGTGACCAAGAAAGTATCATTCTCCTATTTTAGGCTTTTCATTGCATGAGAAAAATGAGTCTTTGTTTTTATGCTTTGTCAACTATTCCTTCTTCATCCTTGGGTGAAATCTCAGCTTTTCCATCTTCATCATGTATTGAAAGAACCCTAATTTTCTAGTATTAAAATGTCCTGTCCATTTCAAGCTTCTACTGGAGTCATGTCTTGGCCAAAGCAAGGCCACAGCCAAGCCCAGAGTCAAGGAGTGGGAAAGTATGCCCCACTGAGAATGGGGGGGTTGCTGTAAAGGATGTGGGTGAAGCATCAGGGACGTGTTGCTTACACATGCTTGGACAACAGGTATAATCCTGGACTTTCCTGAGCACAGAGGGATGTATAAAAAAACAAACAAACAAACAACTCATTGCCATAAAGTCAATTCTGACTCATAGCGACCCTACAGCACAGAGTAGAACTGCCCCATAGAGTTTTCAAGGCTGTAATCTTTACAGAAGCAGACTGCCACATCTTTCTCCCAAAGAGCATCTGGTGGATTCAAACAGCTGACCTTTTGGTTAACAGCTGAGTGCTTAACCACTGTGTCACCAGGACTCCAAGAGGGGTGTATTGTCCCCCATGCATAGAATGTTAGAATGTTTGAACGTTTATTTTCTCGGCTGAAAACATCATCCTCTTACGTGTGCTTTGAGGCACTACCAGCTATCATTTTCTTGGCGCCTCAGAGGTAAGAATCACTCTAAGTATTTTCTGGGCTCCACAGGCAGCTTCTGACAGCTCTAGAGGGTTCTCAGGTGTGTGCTTGACTTCCTTCAAAAATAAAAAAAAAAAAACACTGCTGTCAAGTCAATTCTAATTCATGGCTATAGGACAGAGTAGAACTGCCCCATAGGGTTTCCAAGGAACAGCTGGTGGATTTGAACTGCTGACCTTTTGGTTTGCAGCCATAGTTATATTTAGAGAGAGAGAGACACGGGGGGTGGCCTAGAGCACCATTTTCCCGGAAGTCCCTCTGGACATATTTTTGATTGTCATTACCATCAACTCGGTGGCAACGGGTTTGATATATATATTTTTTACCTTTATGTTTGGTAAATGAATTTGCTTATTTAAGAGGTTTTTAAAATTATACTTTTCAGTATTGTAAACAAAAGTTTGATTTTTTTAAATGATTTTAGTGTGTAATTCAGAAATGCATTTCTATACCACTGTGCCAGCTCTCCTGCCTAAGAAAGTGAAAGCAGATCGCCTAGCAGTAACAAAACACAAATGGTTATTTTGCAGGCAGAATGAACCAGATCTTCACACTTTATGTAGTAATGTATCCGAAGCCAATACCAGCCAATGTGTTTAAGAATTTCCCTTACTTATCA